CCAGGAATTTCTTTAAATATTTGCTAAATTTAACAATTAATCCATTTGGGTCTGGGCTTTCTTTGTGAAAGACTTTTATTTACTAAATAAGCGTCTTTTCTTGTTAAATGTCTATTCAGATTTTCTATTTCTTTCTTCAAGCCAATTATGGTGATTTGTCTGTCTTGGAAATTTTCCATTTCACGTCAGTCATCTGAATTATTAGCATAAGGTTGTTCATAATAGTTCCTTATCAATTTAATTATTATGGTGTTCCCTCATATTCCCAATTTTGCCAATCTGTGGATTGTTTCCTTTTTTTCTTGGCCTATCTAACTATATGGATGTCACTTGTTGGTGTTTTGAAAGAACCTACTTATGCTTTCATTGATTGATTTTTCTGCCATTGATTTCCACTACTCTATTTTTTATTATTTCTTTCCTTCTTCTTGTTTTGGTTTTAGTTTTTCATACTTTCCTCATTTCTTAAGATAGAATATTAGGTTATTGATTTGAGATCATTCTTCCTTTCTTTTTATTTTTAAAAAAGTTATTTATTTGAAAGTCAGAGTTAGAGAAAAGCAGAGACAGAGAGAGAGATCCATCTGCTGGTTCATTCACCAGATGGCCACAGTGGCCAGGCCAAAGCCAGGAACCGGGAGCTTCTTCTAGGGATCTCCCTCATGGGGGCATAGACCCAAGGACTTGGGCCATCTGCTGCTGCTAATTAGCAGGGAGCTGCATTTGAAGTAGAGTAGCTAGACATGAACTGGCACCCTTTGGGATGCCAGCATCACAGACGGCAGCTTAAACCTATGCCACAACGCCAGCCCTGAGTTCATTCTTCATTTCTAATACAGGAGTATTATAAATTTTCTCCTAAGTATTGTTTATGCTTCATCTCATTTTTTCTCATATATTGTAATTTCATTGATATTCTAAGTATTTTCTAATTTTTCTATAATTTCTTTTTTGACCTATGGATTATTTTTCAGTTTCCAAATATTTATGGACTTCCAAAATTTCTGTTGTTGAATTCTAGTACAATTCCATTATGGTCATGGCATATACATGACCTGATTTTAATCCCTTTGTATTTATAAGACTTGTTTTATGGCCTAGCATATGGTCTGTACTGAAAGATATACTCTGTACCCTAGCAAACAAAAAAAGGCATATCCTGCTGTTTTGGGGTGGAGCTTTCTGTGGATGTCAGTTAAGTCAGGGTAGCTAATAATGTTAGTATTCTATATCCTTTCTGTTTTTCTGTTCAGTTGTTTTTATTTAATATTGAGAAGTGATATTGAAGTATCCTTCTATTATTGTTGATTTTTCTCTTTTTATCAACTTTGACCCATGCATTTTGGTGTTTTTCTTAGGTTTGCATTTGTTTATAATTGTTATTTCTTCTTGATAAATTGAGGCCTTTGTTCTCATTATAAATGCCTTTTTATCATTATAAAATGTCCCGCATTTTTTACTTTTTTTCCTTAGAGTTTATTTTACCTAACATCAGTACAGTTATTCCTGCTTTTTTAAAGTTACTGTTTGCTTGGTGTATCTTTCTTCATCTTTTTACTTTCAACACATTTGTGTCTTTCTTTTTTTTTAATTTATTTGACAGGTAGAGTTGTAGACAGTGAGAGAGAGAGACAGAGAGTAAGGTCTTCCTTCCGTTGGTTCACTCCCCAAATGACCGCCATGGCCGGCACACTGCGCCGATCCAAAGCCACAAGCCCGGTGCTTCCTCCTGGTCTCCCACATAGGTGCAGGGACCCAAGCACTTGGGTCATTCTCCACTGCCTTCCTGGGCCACAGCAGAGAGCTGGAAGAGGAGCAACCAGGAATAGAACCCGCTGCCCATATGGGATGCCAGCGCCACAGGCGGAGGATTAACCAAGTGAGCCACGATGCCAGCCCCACATTTGTGTCTTTCAATTTAAAATATGTCTCCCTATTTAGATTTTTAAAATTCACTGTGACACTTTCTGCTATTTTATAATGTTTAATACATTGATATTTAATTGTTGATATGGTTGAATTTACATATGCTATTTTTCCATAAATGGATAAATAAATGGAAATAAATTTCCATTTATTTCATATAATTTTTCTTCCTCTATTTTTTACTGGCTTTTTATGCAGAAGAAATACTGCCTAAGGCACTGTTTTCATTTTTTGGCTTTATGAACTTTTAGTAATTTCTTATATGACATCTTAATTCATCACAATTTAGAGTAACAATATCTTAAACCCAGTTTAATATAAAAATTTTGCCTCTACATAATTTCCCTTCCCCTTTCTCTGTGCCATTATTATTCTAAACATTACATCTTACATGTTAGAAAATCAACAATACAGTTTTTCATGCAGTTTAATGTTTTTGTTTCATGCATGGGTCTTTTAAATCAAGTAAACAAAAGGTAATGAATAATTTTATATTCATATATACCTTTGTAATTACCACTACTGATGTTTTATATTTCATTGTGTTGCTTTGAGTTGCTGTATGGTATCATTTCCTTTCAATGTGAAGGAATTACACCCATATTTCTTAAAAAGCAGGTGCATTCATAATGATCTCTCTCTCTTCGGTGCTTTTCTTGGAATATCTACATCGTTTCATTACTTTTGAAGGATATTTTGCTGCTTTTAAAATTCTTGGTTAACACTTTATTTTCTTTCAACATTATTATCTACTGACTTTAATTGTGTCAGATAAAAATTCAACTGTTGGGGCTGGCGCCATGGTTCGCTGTGGTGCCGGCATCCCATATGGGCGCTGGGTTCTAGTCCCAGTTGCTCCTCTTCCAGTCCAGCTCTCTGCTGTGGCCCGGGAGGGCAGTGGAGGATGGCCCAAGTGCTTGGGCCCTGCACCCCATGGGAGACCAGGAGGAAGCACCTGGCTCCTGGCTTTAGATCGGCGCAGCGCACCGGCCATGGCGGTCATTTGGGGGGTGAACCAATGGAAGGAAGACCTTTCCCTCTGTCTCTCTCTCTCTCTTTCTCTCTCTCACTGTCTAACTCTATCTGTCAAAAAAAAAAAAATTCAACTGTTAATCATATTATGTTCTTCCATATGTGATGAATCATTTCCATTCAAAATTTCCATTTGACTATTTAAAGTTTTTCTATTTCTTTATATTACTATTTGATTAATCAATAACATTATACTGTCCCTTAATTCTTTATTATTCTCTTTAGTTCTTTGAACATATTCTTTTTTAATAGATGTATTTATTTATTTGAGAGGTAGAGTTACAAACAGTGAGAGGGAGGGACAGAGAGAGAGGTCTTCCATCTGCTGGTTCACTCCCAAATGGCCACAATGGCCAGAGCTGGGCCTATCCAAAGCCAGGAACAGGGAGCTTCTTCCATGTCTCCTGTGTGGGTGCAGGGGCCCAAGCGCCTGGGCCATCATCTACTGCTTTCCAAGGCCTTAGCAGAGAGCTGGATCAGAAGAGGAGCAGCCGGGACTAGAACCAACGCCCAGATATGATGTTGGTGCCACAGGCAGAGGATTAAACCACCGTGCCACAGCACCAGCCCTGGAACATATTCTAATAGCAGTGTTGAGTTCCTTTTTTTGCCAAGTCTAACAATAATTAGTCCCTCTAAGAGAATTTCTATTGATTACCTGTTTGCCTGTTTTTTATTGTATATGAGTCATACATATTTCTATGCATGCCTCATAATTTTTGTTGAAAAGTATGCGTGTTAGATAATACACTGGGGAAACTGAATTCTGAATCCATTGCTGCGGAGGTTGTTATTGTTACATCTTATTTGTTTAGTGAACTATCTGAAATAATTATGAAGAGTCTGTCTGCTTTGCATTGTGTAGCTACTGATATTGCCTAAGCTTTTTCTTGTTTATTTGTTTTTCTCATTTAAAAAATTGAAGGCTAGCCTCCCAGGGGTTTGCCTTTGAGTCAGTATAAGTTAATGGTAAGCCAATGATTGACCAGAGGTTGTACTTAATTTCCTTGAGCCAGTAGGGCTTCTGTCTTTTGTCAGTCAATATATTTGTGGGTTGGGGAACACATTCAATATTTAGGCCATTTTCCAATCTGGCTGGCTTCTACTTTCAGATATGCCTTCTCATGTCTCCTCTGTGAGTGTCCTAGTTCACATTCATCTGGGAATGTGTGGTGAACTGGAATCCTGTTTAGTCTCTCCTAAGCATTGTTGCTTTCCATATTAAAGTAGTACAGTGAGCTTATCAAGACTCATTGTAGCTGTCTTATTCCCCAAATCTCCCTGTTAAATTTCTTACAAGTTTATTAGTCTCTGTCTTTCCAGTTCCCGTTTCACAAAGTCAAACTGTCTAAGTCGTTGGCCTTCACTAAGGAAATGGAATCCATTCCAAATCTACTGCCCTCTCCAGCTGTAGAAATAATGACTCAGCATTTTCTCTGCCCTCTACAGAACTACCATGTTAATGGAAGCAAGGGATGAGTATTTTGCTCAAAATTGTTCACTCCACTTCTGGTGACTGCCAGAAATCCTTATTATAGCAGAATCTCTGCAGTTTTTTTCTCCATCATCACATGGATTTCTGTGTGCCTGTATATCTGATCTTCCTTCTCCTTTATGTTATAAAGGCAGCAGCCATTGGATTTAGGGCCCACTCTAATCCATGGCCTCATCTTAATTAATTACATATTCAAAAAACCTATTTCCAAATAAGGCCAAACTCTGAAGTTATGCTAGACATAAATTTGGAGTAATACTGTGCAATCCAGTACATCATTATGAACTGAAAATCAGTATGGTCTGTTTTGTGTAATAAGTGGTATTTTATAAAGATTAGTTTTAAAATGGATAAAGAGGAAAATTAGGCATTACTAATTTGACCTTTTGGTTGGGATGGTTCTTCAAGTTAGGATAACTCACTGGCTTGTTATTGTTGTTATTTTGTACAAGCTGTTAAGAAAAAGGCAGTGAGATCTGTGGACAAGAAAGGGTTGGCAGGGCATCATCCCTCTCAACTCTACCTTACATATCTGTTTTTAATCTAGAGCCAAATAACTATCGGAGCATGCATGGCCGAGCAGTAAATGGCAGCCAATTGGGAAAGGATTACATCCAGCTGAAGAGTCTGCTGCAGCCCATCCGGATTTACTCCAGAGCCAGCTTGTATGGCCCTAATATTGGGCGGCCCAGGAAGAATGTCATTGCTCTCCTAGATGGGTGAGTGAGATTATGTAACTGAATATTATATTGCTCATTAAAAGTAGTGAACTAATGTATCTGTATTTTTTCCTCGTCATTTTCAGTCTTTGGAATTAAGAAGGGTTTTTTTCCCCCTCTCTAAATCAAGAATTCTCCATCAAATAGTGGAAGAACGTACCTCTCCAGGTCTTTCGGAGTCACCAGAGGGTAGTGGGATGGAGTAGAGAGATCACAATGTGTAGAATAGGTTTGAAAAAGAAGCATTGTTTAAAAAACAACATATAATGTTACACTTAATAGAATCATTGCATATTTTTTAAAAAGAAAAAAGTACTCTATTTTCATGACGTCTTACTGAAAGTAAAGATTAAAAAATCTTGTCCAACAAGCTAAACTAAAAATTTAAGAAACTAGGGCTGGCAGTGTGGCATGGTGAGTAAAACTATCACCTGTGATGCTGGCATCCCATATGCGCACCTGCTTGAGGGCGGCTGCTCCTCTTCCAATCCAGCTTCTTGCTAATGGCCTGGGAAATCAGCAGAGGGGTGGCCCAAGTCCCTAGGCCCCTGGCCATACACATGGAAGACCCAAATGAAGCTTACGGCTTCAGCCTGGCCCAACTGGCCCAACCCAGCCTATGGGGAGTAAATCTGTGGATAGAAAATCTCTCTCTCACACACACACACACACTCTCTCTCTAATTCTTTCAAATAAATAAATAAACCTTTAAAAATTTTTGAGAGGGGCTGGCACTGTTGTGCAGCGGGTTAACGCCCTGGCCTGAAGCGCCAGCATCCCATATGGGCGCTGGTTTTTGAGTCCCAGCTGCTCCACTTCCCATCCGGCTCTTTACTGTGGTCTGGGATAGCAGTGCAAGATGGCCCAAGTCCTTGGGTCCCTGTATCCATGTGGGAGACCCGGAGGAAGCTCCTGGCTTCAGATCGGCACAGCTCCAGCCATTGCAGCCATCTGGGGAGTGAACCATCTGATGGAAAACACCTCTCTCTCTCTCAATCTCTCTCTCTCTCTCAATCTCTCTCAATCTCTCTCTCCCTTTCCCCTCCCCTCCGCTTCTCCCTCCCCTCCCCTTCCACCTCCTCTTCCCCCTCCCCCTTCTCTTCCCCCTCCCCCTCCCCTCCCCCTCCCCCTCCCCCTCCCCCTCCCTCTCCTTCTCCCTCTCCTCTCTGTAACTCTGATTCTCAAGAAAAATAAATCTTTAAAAAAATTTTTTTGAGATACCACAGATATGTGTAGGGTAAAGTACAACTGAACTGGTAAATATATGATCAACTATTCTGAAGAATTGCTACCACTTGATTTATGAGAGTAGCTCAAAATTTGTGAAAAATGTAAATAAAAGATAAGTTTATTTGGTACAAAAATATTTGAAACCCATGCATAGTTTTTTCATAATATGAATTTCCCATGAACTTTATGAAGACTTCTTGTATACCTGGATTTCAAAAATTTTTGTGCCAAAATAAACTTACCTTTTACTTCCATTTTTCATGACTTTTTGCTGTTTCCTCATATACTGAATCTCAAAATCATTTTTAAAGTATTGGTATGGACATGGCACTATGTGAAATGCTTTCTGCCTCAGTCCTGCTGGTTAATCAGGCTCAAACTGAAAATTGAGACATCCAGGTACCCAATTAAGCAGGGTCAGAGGAAATCATTGACCATGAATGCATTGCTAGTAAAGAGGATGAATCAAGGTCCAAAGAGCCATGGTGATGTGAGGAAGGATGAAGATAGAATCCAAGGCCTCAAACGGAGATGGATCCAGAGCAGGAAGGGTAGAAACAATGAGATTGGGAGATTTGAGAGTTAATCTGGAACACATATCCTGTGCATGAAAGTGCACACTTTTGTGTGGTACCTTGTCATAGTAATAGGAATAGGTATGCTAATTGTCATATAGTAGGATTAGGTATGGTAATTCGTTGTCATAGGAATAGGTATAGTAATTCTGAAAATTCAAAGATGAATAAAATATTTTTTGGTGAAATGCACAGATCAAATGAAGTTAGAGAAATACTATATAAGTGTAAACAGACATATGGAGAGAGGAACCTGTCAGCTGAATGAACCATATGGCTTGGTAGCCCTTGGTAACTCTCCTCCCTTTTCTGGTTACTTATTCTTATGAACATAGCCAAGGTTTGAGAAAGAAGAATGATTTACATGGTAACAACATTAACCTGAAATTTAATTTTAGATGTTTTTCTCTCTATAAAATGTTGTTGCACTCTTACTTCAATTCCTGTTCTTCCCCTGCCCTTCTCTTTTATCCTTTTTCCTCTCAGACTAATTTCCCTTTTGCTGTGGAACTTGGTCCCTATTCACAAATGCAAATGTGGGCTTTACTTTTCATACTTTAATTGAACATTGAATTATTGTGTGTATATGTGGGGAGGAGGATAGTGGATGAAGACATTGCTTTCATTTTGTCTCTTATGGGATAAGGACCACATATATAGAACTTTGCTTTTTCATTCAGTGGCTATTTATTGACCAGTTCCATTTACTTGGCATTTTGCTAGATTTTGCAGACACAGTATCCACCTAAAGAAGACCAAAGACTGGTCAAAAGACAAACATCAACCCAACAGTTACAAAATCCTTTGATAAGAATGTAATTGTTGCATACATTTGAGGCACAGTGGCTATAGATATGTATTTACCTTTAATAAAAGCACAGTCTTATTCTGATGTATTAACATGTACCACATATAAATATTTGCCAACACGAAGTACAGATTGCAAAGGGTCATACTGAGATATAATAAAACCATTTTCATTTTCATTTAATAAAAAGAATATATCCAGAACATTTTTCTAGTGTTACATGCTAGAGAGCCTTATCATATCCTCATAGTTCTATTTGCAACGTAGGTTGTAAATCACTTACATCCTGAGCCCTGTAAATTTTTTTTTTTATTTAAAAGAATTGAATAACACTAGATTCTTGGATACATGTATAGAACTTTACTCACTTTTTGTAGATATATTATCAAGCAAAGCTAACAACTCCATTGTTTAAGTCCACATAAATTTCTTTTGGATTATCATTTTTTCCTTAATCATTCAATTTTTATATTCTCATAAGACACATAATGTCCTCTTGGTGGCATGGCATTAATTCATTCATTCATCTGTAAACATGTCTCATGAGTAACTACAGTACACCAGGTACCGTGTAAGGAACTGGGAATATAATAAACAACAACAACAAATAGAAATATATTTGTTTAGCTCTCATGGATTATTCATTATGGTAGGGGAGACATGGACATTAATCAACTAAATTTAAAACCAAAACAATATCAAGAAGAGATATATTATGCTATGAATGACTATAAGGGCTGGGCTTTGATTGACTTAGGGAAGTCATGGAAGGGTTCTCTAAAGTAGTGACACATTTGTGAGAGAAAGGTGTTTAAGACTTAATCTAAAGTTTAATCTAGGAGTTAAGTAGACAAAATGAGAAGTGAATTGTGTCAATATTCTTGGCAAAGAGAAAAGTGTATACAAAGGCTCCTAAGATGAAAAAGGAGATTAAATTGGCTAGAGAACAGTATAGTAGATAATTAAGTAGGAGTCATGTTATATATCAGATTGGAGATATAATAAAGGGCTTACAATTTCTTCTAAGTGCTTTCATGAAGATATTGGATTTTTTTTAACTAGGGAAGGGAATCTGTTTTTCATAAAAGTATGTTGTATCAATTCTGGGAAATTGATTGGAAAGAAAGCAGGGAAATCAGTGAGAAGAGAAGGTTGTTGCTATAATGATAGTCCCGAACTAAGGTAGTAGCAGCGGAATATATGTTGGGGGTAAAATCCATGGAACTTGATGATATATTATACAACAGTATAATGATGTGACACCCATGTGTAATTAATTGGGTAGATGTCATTTACAGAGATGAGAAGACTAGGGAGTTATTGGTTCTGAAGGAAAAATCATGACTTTAGATCTTTGTGTTATATTTATTAGACTTGAATCTAAATGGAGATGTCAAATATAACATTGAATAGGAATCAAGGGATCAAGTTCTCTGCTAGAGACATTAATTTTGGGGTCATTTGCATGTTGATAGGTTTTAAAGTCATGGGAATGGAAGAGACAAGATAGAGAAAGTATAAAAAGGGCAGTGAAAGAGGCCTAGAAAAGAACCCTGAGAAAACTTGAATATTTAGAGATGTGAGAAAGAGGAATGGCCTCAGAGGTGAGAGGAAAAGGAGATTAAGAGTTGCAACAAAGAGAGAGAGCTCTGGATAAGAAGGGAGTGCTATTAGGAGATCAGTAAGCCAAGCAACACAAGGACAGATAAGTGCCTTTGGGTTTGGGAACATGTAGAGTGTTGGTGACTTTGAGAAACAATTCAAAGGAATGTTGAGAACTGAAAACAGATTACAGTAGTTTGAAGAAGGAATGTGGAGTAAGAAATTGGGTACAGTAATGTAGATAACAATTCAGAGAAAGTTTTAATATGAAAGAAAGCAGGGAAATGTGTGGTCAAGGAAGGTGAGGACATTTTCCCCAGTTAATATGAGAGATATTTTAGTAAGTTTGTAGGTTGAAGAGATATTTCTGAGAAGAGACAGATGATACAAAAGAGGGAGAATATAGTCAATGTGCAGAGTCCTTAAGGCTAGAAAAGATAGAATCCAGAAGGATGACCTTCATTAAATTGAGGGACAATTAGATAAGATACAAATATGTCTCTGTAAAAAGATTAAACAGTCCTACTTAGAAGTCTGCACCTAGTATATAAAGTATAATTAGGGCACCCTCGTTTGTGTACATGGTGTGAGTGTGAACATATAGATGATGGTTTGTTATGCATAAGTCAAGAAACTGGGACAAAATAATAAGCAAGAGATGAAATAAATGAGCTTGTGACTGGGTTGTTATGGTAGCAAATGGTGAGCTCCACTTCTGCTACATTCCAAAACTAAAATATAACTCAAGAGACTAAGAACAAAAATATCTCAGGGCAAGGAAAGAT